GGGCCACCTTAACCAGGACTGAAACCTTTCTTGACCCAGCAAGACCAGATCACCATACAGGGCAGTATATTACTATTGGCAGCAAGAGTGATTGTCACCAGTAATGGTCACTGCCAGATACTGAGTGAACTCCACCAGGATCATCTGGAGTTTCCAAGTGAAAATATTGGCAAGAAATTATCTCTGGTGGCCAGGATTGGATGCCAAAATAGCTACGTTTGTGTGGTATTAACTGGAGTGCCAACAAAGACAAAAATTATTGCCAGCAGCGACCCCACATTCGTGGAAATGGCCGGGTAAACCCTGGACTCAGTTAAACCTCAACTATGCTGGCACTTTCATGGGCTCAATGGTCTTGGTCGTTGTGGATGTCCTTTCAAAGTGGTTGGACGTACAGAGTTCATTCAGAAAACTTAGGATGATGACTGAAAAGCTGTGAACATCGTTCACAATACACAGACTCCCAGAAGTATTGGTCACGGACAGTTGGATTAATTTACGAGCAGGGATTTCAAGTATTTCCTAAAGTCTAATGGCATTCAGCATGTTTGGACAGCTCCAAACCATCCTGTATCCAATGGTCTGGCAGAAAGAGCAGTCAATGTTGAAGGCAGGCTTAAAGAAACAGCCTACAGCTTCACTCAATACCAAACTGTCCCAGTTTCTGTTCGATTATAGCACCACCCCTCATGCAACTACAGGGATAGCTTCAGCAGAGTTGCTGGTGGGGAGAAGACTCTGCACCAGGTTAAACCTGATATTCCCAGACCTTGGAGGGGGGCAGGGGTAAGGTGAAATGGCAGCAGGAATGCCAATTCCAGGCACATGCCTCCTCTAAGTGAGAGAGGTAGTTTACTTCAGGGGATGAGGTTTGGTGTCAAAACCATGGAAATGGCCCTACATGGGTATGAGGCAAAATCAACGCGAGGTCAGGTCTCGTGACATACAAAGTGAGGCGGTCCTGAACAAACGTGTGGATCACTTGAGAGCTGCTACCTCGTAAACGGGGCGGGAGCAAAACATACTTAGTCCATCAGAACAGCTCGAAAGGCTATAAGAAACCATGGGTTCGCCCCTCCATTTAGCATTGAAGAAACCTCACAGTTGGAGATGGATGTCTCAATACTGTTACTGGCTGAAGAAGAGGAAACACCTCCTGAGATGCTCCAGACAGGCTATGGTTGGTACACACTGCTCATGTCTGAGTCAAAGGAACTGGAGGAGAGGTTACAAGAGAAAGAACAGGCTTACATCCCCAAATTGATGGGGGGGGAGGAGGAATGCAGTGATTGGAATGAGGGTCAGGTGGATTCATTGACTATGAAATCTTTGATTGGTTTTTCAATTTAGGCCAATCAGGGAGCCTGGCTGACAGATATAAACAGGAGATTGCCCCTACTAGGCTTTGCTTGCTACTGGTTCCCTGGTTACATGGGTGTTTTTCCTGATGGTGGAAATGTTGAATAAAATTATTTTGCACATGGTGTTTTTACTGAGTCCTGCACTTACACACACACACACAATATGGTACTGTGGGGAAAAATAAGCACTGCTGCTGTATAGTAGTAATGTGGGTATACATAAAAAAAAAGCAGGGGATTCGGAGAGTCTCCTCATTCTAGGGAATGGTTTTGATCTGGCTGGTCAGAATCTGAGTACTGTGCATGTGTGAATAATTTGCGACTTGGTGATGGATACTGGCCTCTGTGCAGTTATTTCAATGATCATTCAAGCTACTTCGGGAGTTGGTGGTGCAGTGGTAATGTCTATAGACCCATGATAATGTTCTGGGGTGGTAGGTATAAATCTTGCTATGGCAGCTGGTGGAATCAATTAATAAACAAATCTGAAATTGAAGGACTAGTCTTATTAATGACACTTTGATTTGATTTAATTTCGTACTGTCACATATACCTAGGTACAATGAAAAGTTTTGTTCTGCATGCAGTATAGGCAGATCTTACCATGTAAAGTGCATTAGGGTAATAGAACAGAGCGAAGAATACATGATATGGCAGCAGAGGAGGTGCACAAAGAGTGAGATCAACATTGTATTTAAAATTTGAGAGGTCCCTTCAGAAGTCTAATAACAGTGAGGAAAAAGGCATTCTTGAATCAGTTGGTACATTGTACTTTCTGCCTGATGAAGAGGTTGGAAGAGATTATAACCAGGGTGGGAGGGATCTTTGTTTCTGTTGGCTGCCTTCCTGAAGCAGCAAGAAGTATAGATGGAGTGAATGGATGGAAGGTTGGCTAGCATGATGGACTGAGCTGTGTTTACAACTCTCTGTAGCTTGTTATGGTCCTGAGCAGAGTAGATGCCATACCAAGCTGTGATGCCTCCGGAAAGAATGATTTCTATGCTGCATCTGTAAAAATTGTTAAGTCTTCATTGGCATGACAAAGTTCCTTAGCCTCCTGAGGAAGTAGAGGCATTGTCAATAAATGTGAAACTGGACAAACATCAGAGGAGCAGGAAAGTCAACGTTTCAGGCTGAAACCATTCATCAGGACTCTGTGGTTGTGCTTGTAGTGTCTGTAGTGGTAGTCTAGAGTCAATTGATTTTAGTTTCAAAGGTCAGTGAAACAATGTCACTTGCTCCGACAGCCTGGGATATATTTGTTTCCTCAGTCACCGCTGCAGACATCAGATTAGCCTTTTTGAAAGGGAAACCATGAAAAACAACTGGTCCAGATGGAGTCCGGAGCCGTGCAATCACAGCCTGCTGTAGTGTCAATGTGCGTGAACCAGGACTGATTGTTGGTGATCATTACTCCTAGGAACTCTAGACCATCTCCACCTTAGCACCGTTGATGTAGCTAGAGGCATGCCCTCCACCTTGATTCCTGAAGTCACTGACCAACTGTTTCATTTTGCTGACCTTGAGGGAGAGATTGTTGTCTTTACACCATGCCACCAAGAACTCTATCTCTTTCCTGTATTCTGTCTCGTCACTGTTTGAGGTGCAGCCTACACCGGTAATGTTATCAGCGAACTTGTAGATGGAGTTAGGATGGAATTTGGCTACACAGTTATCAGTGCTTAGGGCATATAGTAAGGGGCTGAGAATGCAGCCTTGTGGGAGCCGGTGTTGAGAATTATTGTGGAGGAGGTGTTGTTGCCTATTCTCACTGATTTGTGGTCGGTAGGTTAGGAAGTTGAGGAGAGAGTTGCAGAAGGCAGAGCAGAGACCTACATCTTCGAGTTTGGAGATTAATTTGGCTTGAATTATGGTGTTGAATTCGGGGCTGTAGTCAATAAGTAGAAGTCTGATGTAGGTATTCTTGTTACCCACATGTTCCAAGGATGAATGTATGGCTGGGGAGATGGCTTCAGCCATGGACCTGTTGTGACAGTAGGCAAATTGCAAGGGATCAAGGCAGGCTGGGAGGCCAGAGTTGATGTGAGCCATGATTAACTTCTCAAAGTACTTCATAATTATGGAAGTCAGAGCCACTGGGTGATAGTCAGTGAGGCACAGTGCATGAATTTTATTACTAGGATAATGGTGGTTTCATTGAATCAAGTAGGGACTTCAGATTGCAGTAAGGAGAGGTTAAAGATGCCAGAGAACTGCAGATGCTGGTGTCAGAGATAACACGGTGTGAAGCTGGAGGAACACAGCAGGCCAGGCAGCATCAGAGGAGCAGGAAAGTTGACGTTTTGGGTCGGGACCCTTGTAAATACTCCCACCAGCTGATATGCGCAGAATTTGATTGCACGGCTCCGGACTCCATCTGGACCAGTTGTTTTCCATGGTTTCCCTTTCAAAAAGGCTGACCTGATGTCTGCAGCAGTGACTGAGGAAACAAGTATATCCCAGGCCTTTGGAGCAAGTGACATTATTTCACTGACCTTTTGAAACTAAAATCAATTGACTAGCAGACCACCAGCAATGTAGTTAACTCTTACATACCCTCTGAAATCATCCTAGCAAGCCACTTATTTCAAGAGTAATTAGGGGTGGGCAAAAAATGCAGGTCCTGCCTGCACTGCCAACATTTCATGGAAGAACAAAATAAATCTGATGAGATCATTTCTGAAGTATTTACTACATTTAAAATGATGACCCAGACAGAGATAGATGGAGACAGGCCAGAAGCCAGTGCAGTTCAGACAAAAAAAGATTCATACCAGAAGGGCAGTTTCATTTTGGTAATGTCCAAGCCAGAACTGGCAAGAAATCATCAGCTGTTATGGTAGTTCAAGTAGGCAAGACTGGGAAAAGCCCTGAGATTTTTTTCTTAAGGTTCAGTGAGTCACTGTGTCTATGTTTCTCAGGGACAGGCAATATTGAAGAGAATTACATCCGGTGAATGTGCAGAAACTTGCCAAAATTTGCTCGAAACCTCATTGGTTGAGCAAGAAATTAAACAGGGAAGATAGCGATGATATCTCACACGAGTTAAGTACCTGTAAGGAATTTTGCTAGGGAAAAAAGTCAGTCTTTCTTTGTGACGTTTATAAGATCTTTGAAAATTGTCTTATATGAATATGTACCTTTATTTTCCTTTCTTGTGTGTAATGAACTTACATTCCTCTGTCTTGAATGATTTTTTGGCATGTGAGAGATGCTGTCAAGGCTACATTTATTTCCAGTCATTTTGAGACGATTGCGATGTGACTTATTTCTGAATCACCGTAGTCCTCGTGATTATACTCCAACAATAAGAGTTGTTTGGAGAATTTAATTCCTTTCATATTGTCAATGATGTTGGCTTTCCACAAAAAGAAACACACTTCCGGTTATCGGATGCCTTATTTCAAATCCCCTCCTCTCGTATTGCCACATGCTGTTTTTTTTGTACACTTCCCTCCAGCAACGAACGTCACCAGAAATACACACGCTTCTTCGAAGTTTGCCAGCTGCGGCGGCAGGTGGTCACGTGATATGGGTGATTCGGCTCCAACCGATCAGCGGCAAGTAGCCACGTGATACGGCCTGTCGGCAATAAGCATGCGCATTGTTCCGCGCTAGCCAATCGATCAGCAAAGTGAAGTCACATGGCGTGTGCGGCGCCAGCACGTGCCGGGGGTGAAGCGAGGACGTTTGGAATGGCGATGCAGGTGAGAGGGAGGGTGGTTGGTTGGTCACAGTTGGTCAGCAGCGTAGGCAGGAAAGCAGTGTGCGACCACTGGTCTTCAGCTGTTTGCCTTCAAAATTACATCTTTATTCTTGGGGTGTGTTAATTGTTTGTCGCACAGACTGCGAAGCCTTGGTTTCTTAAAGCTGCCACTGGCCATCAAAAGATGAACGAATTCAAGTTGCTTATTTCTATGGAGGATGAGTTTTTAAAAAAAAACAGGATAAATGGATCACAAATCAAAGCCTTACGTTTCCATAGCGCCTTTAACAGCAACCGGATGTCTCAAAGCGCATTAAATACTTGTAAATTTCAGTTCATGTCTGTACTTCAGGAACGTGGCAGCCAGTTTGCACGAACTCCTACAAACAGCAGTATGATGACTGAAGAGTCTGATTTTGTAGACACTCCCGCCCTTTTTCTTTGGAGTAATGCTGTTTGATATTTTACATCCACCTGAACAAACGGATGGAGAGATAGTTCAATGCTTCATTTGACACTGCAATGTGAGTCTTTAATTTTGTGCTGAAGTTCTGGAATCTTGTTTGAGGGGCAAAACTGCTATCAAATGAGCCCCAGCTGCCAGCACTTTTTTTTTCTAAACACAATTCTTCCACTATTTCTATTTTATTGTCTGTTGTTAAACATTCAATGTTTAGTGGATGTTATTATCTCAATAGCAGGTCAGACTTTATCCATTATTTTGAATTGCTTAAATTGTTTCTTAAAAATAGACATTGGCTCTACTACTTACAAACTTCAGAATATGAAGTACCTATATCATTTCTATTTAAATGCTTGCATTCCCCTGGTCTTCAATCAGACATGTCACTTCACCTTGCTGACTCAAGGTGAGATTCCCCAGGTCGTTGTTTTTCCAGATGGGATACCCCAAATTGTTAAGCTCCTCAATGAAGAGGGATGAACCCTTCCTTATTCATTTACCAGCACCCCCCTACAATGGTTGCTTAATTTGAAAAGGACCACTTCCCTTTCTCCCAGACCCAAAATGCAAGGTGAATTAGTGATACAACCCTCTATAGATGCAGATTGAAAATAACTAGTGGATCCAAAAGAATAAAAGTATTTTTTCTTTTTAAAAAATGGGTCAGTTTTGAATTGTAGAAGAGTAGACAATTGAAATTTGTACGTTGCAGTACATGTTACTGGCAGTGTTGACATTGAAAATTTGAACAGTTGATTTTTGACACTTCTAGTTTTCTCGACTGATTGAAACTCTTTTGTCCTGATTCCTTTATTTTAAACTAGCTTGCAGCATTCTGAGTCAGAGGGGACTTTATCTACAACACTGGTGACTAGGGGAAGGATCTTTTGACTTTCACAGCATGGTCCCACAAATTCATTCCAGTAGATTTGAAACAGGCTTTTTTTTTTTAACCTGTACCCTTGGGTATTCCTGGAAGGTAAAAGCAATGTTTCTGCAAGAAGTGGCTTTCTGCTGAGAGAGTAGGGATAGTTGAACTGCGCGTTATGTCTTGTTAAATTTATCCCTGTTTGAAGTTTCCCTGACAATTTACATGTACAGCATTCCATTAACTTCCCACATGACTTTGCCACTAAATGTCACTAAATTTAAATTCAGTCTTTCTGCAGCAGCCCTCCTTGGGGAAGGTGGTGGTGGTGTGGTCATATCACTGGATTGGTACCCAGAACCCAAGCTAATGATCTGACAACATGGGTTTGAAACATACTGTGTCAGACAGTGAAAATTCATAAAGATCTGGAATTTAAAAAAAAATGCTGGTCTAAATGTGACCATTTTTGATACCTTTATTTGAAAAGGGAAATAGCCAACAATATTTAATTCTAGGCCAATTAGCTTAACATCTGTTACTTAGAAAATATTAGAATCTATTATAGACAATGTAATAACCAAGTGTGTAGAAATACATAATATGATCAAGCAGAGTCAGCTTGGCTTCACAAAGTGGAAATCACATTTGACGTGTGTATTAGAATTCTTTTGAGGTAAATAAAGCAGAAGCAGTGGATGTAATATATTTAGATTTCCACTTGGTATGGTACCTCATAATTGCGATACCAATGCATACAAGGCTATGGGCCAAGTGCTGGAAAATAGGATTAAAATAATTAGGTGCTTGATTTTGATTAGTGTAGACACTCGATGGTCCAAAGGACCTTTTTCTGTGCTGTTGTCCCTCAAGACCCTATCACAGTGACCGTATGACATGTTAGGAATGTAGGAACATAGAAACAGGAGAATGCCATTCAGTACCTTGAAGCAGCTCTGCTATTCAATAAAATATGGTTGATCTGTGGTCTAATGTTAAGCTAATAGAATACAGAGTTGGGAAGGTGTGTAATTTCAGGATGACAGCATGTAACTACTGGAGTACATAGGGATCAGTGTAAGAGCCCCAATTATATACAATATCTTTATTTAGTTTTATTATTTTCAAATGTATCGAGATACAGTGAAAAGGTTTGTTTTGCATGCTGATCAGTCAAATCATACCTGATGGAAGTACATCAGGGTAACAGAACTGAATGCAGAATATAGTGTTACAGCTACAGAGAAGATGTAGAGAAATATCAACTTTAGTGTATGAGAAGTCCATTCAAAAGTCTGATAACACCAGGGAAGAAGCTGTTCTTGAATCTGTTGGTACATGTTTTGTATCTTCTGCTTAATGGAAGAAGCTGGAAGAAAGTATAACCGGGGTGAGAGGAGTCTTTGTTCATTCTGGCTGCTTTCCCGAGTAGCAGCAAGTACAGATGGATTCAGTGGATGTAAGGCTGGTTTGCATGATGGACTGGACTGTGTTCACAACTCTCTGTAATTTCTGGTGGACTTGGGCAGAACAGTTGCCATATCAAACTGCGATGCATCTGGATGGGATGTTTTCTGTGGTGTACCTATAAAAATTGGTCAGAGTCATTGTGTAAATGCTGAATTTCCTTAGCTTTCTGAGGAAGTAGAGGTGTTGGTGTGCCTCCTTGAATGCAGGATTGACATGGATGTACCAGGACAGATTGTTAGTGATCTTTATTCCGAGGAACTTGAAACTCTCAACCATCTGCACCTCAGATTGATACAGATGGGTGTGTCCTCCACATCACTTCCTGAAGTTGATGACCAGCTCCTTCATTTTGATGTCATTAAGGGAGACATTGTTGTCTTTACCCTCTGCCACTAAGCTCGGTATCTCTTTCCTGTACTCTTACTGATGAAGACTCTGATGGTAGTGGCATATTCATTTAGGTTAGCCACTGAGTTCTTGAATATGGATCAGTCCACCAACTCCAAACAGTTACGTAGAAGCTCATCCATTGCCTCAGACCAGAACTGTATGATTTTCTGTAGGGGTTTCCTCATGCTTCAGTTTCTGCTTGTAAACCAGGTGAAGACGCACAGCTGTACGGTCTGATTTTTTTCAAAATGCAGCTGGGGACGGAACGTTAGGCATCTTTAGTTGTGTAGCAATAGTCAAGGGTGTTTTGGGTCTATGTTGGGACAGGAGATGTTTTGATGGTATCATAGTAGCACATGTTTGAGGTTGGCCTGGTTGAAGTTATCAGCTACAATGAGGAAAGCCTTGGTATTCTGTCTCAAGGCTATTTGTAGCAGTGTATATTTGATCAAGTGCACTCTTCACTTTGGCGTGGGGTGGGATGTGAACTGCTGTCAGGATAGCAGAAGTGAATTCCTGTGGCAGACAGTAGGTAAGGCACTGCAGTAACTCGCCAGTGTTGTCATGTCTGAGCACCAAGAGGAGTTGATTAGGAGGCAGACCCCTCTGCCCCTTGTCCGAGGACGCTGTGTGGTCCATCCGGTGAATTGAGAAACCCTCAGGTTGTAAGGCACTGTCAAGTGAAGCAGGAGTGAGCCACGTCTTGAGCAAGATGATGGTGGAGTAAGTAGCGCAGCGTTTGGGTTCCCTTTTTATAATCTAATCATCTTGTGGAGAGGTCGAATGCATCAGTGGCAGTGAGGTGTCCAGCATTTCGGAGGCAACTTTGTGTTCCCGGCGGTGGCAGAGGGAGGCGAGTACAGATGTACAGTTTGGGCCAGTGTCCGGTGTGGGACCTGGCAGCATTGGCAGTGGCTGATTCAGCGTGGTGGGTCCAGCACTGAGTTCGGGCCCAGTTTGGGACTTGGCAGCTTCAGCTGAGATCGGTCCACTGCAGACTCAGGGCACCAATAACGTCGGTGGGGGCAAGTTGATGCAGAAGAATGGTGACATGTGTTCCAGCGGCAGCAGCATGGCAAAGGGACTCAAGGCTGGTGTTTGCTTCTTAACTAGTATTGGATTCAGCATTGGGGTAGAGGAGCCAGGATTCAGGCCCATGGCTAAGGCACTGTAATGTTGAATTTCTAAATTTATTTCTTTTTTTAACTGTTAATTTCTATGCCTTGGTTTATTTTCTGTGTTCTTAAGATGATGCCAGACAGTGGTGACATTATACAACACTCTTCACTTATTTGTAACAAATACACGTACCAAGTACACGTGACAATAAATGAATAAATCAAATGTCTCTGTAAAACAGAGCACACAGCAGCCTTTCAACTCCATTTGATTAATAAGTCTAGCTTTCAGTTCGTCCAGCTTATTTTCAAAAGCTTGTACGTTTTGCCAGGAGTAGGCTGGGGAGGGGTACTTGAAACCACATTGTTTCAGTCTCACCTGCAGGCCAACACGTCACCCATGTTTCCTGCTTCTGGTTGGGATGGGAGTCGGTGTGGGTAGTCTGCCATTCCAGAAGATACGTGGGTGCGTTTGATGGGATCCTGGACACTTCGCAGCCTCGGGGACTCTGGAGAATCTTGTTCTTGGACTGCTTAGGCCTAGATGTTGGGTCTTCATGAGGTTGCCAATCAGTGTTCAGTGTTGGGCCTTTGAGAAGCTCATAAGTGGCTGATCTCTCTCCTTCTCTTGTTGTGGCCACAGTTCAGTGTTGGCAGTCAGGCCCTGTTGGTGTCGGGCACTCAGGGAGGTC